GCGCGGCGAGATACAACCGCCTCACTGCTCGTCAACTACCGGCTAGCAACTACCAGCGGTGGGGCGGTCGTATCTCGCCGAGCGCCTGCATTCAGCAGTAGGCGGACGATTACACGTTTATTCGTCGATCTTCAAAAATTAATATCTTGTTAACGATTACAAATTTTGCAAAATGGTAGAGGACTTTTCTGTTCAATTTTATCTGCTCTACCTGCCCACGAAGTCTGGTGCGGTTATTATGGGACACCCTGTATAGCTTATCCATGATAAATGATCCCCCAACCAAGTTTTGGTTGCCACAACCAGATGAGGTGTAACTACAGTGATGTAGTTTACACATCAAAGTATATAAGTTATATCAACTATACACATACTTATTACAAAAAGATAACTAAAATAATGTAGCTATATTGCTCGCAACTAAATATTTCTGGTGATGTTAACCATATCTGTTTTCTCCGTGTATGCTTGCTGCTTTGCAAGCAGGGCGCCGGATTCGCGATCGGATGATTTTTGCTTTCTAGCTTCACTCTTCGATTATTTTAACTTTCAACGTTTCGGCGTCTGGCAAATCGTCGCGTGACTCTATTGCACATCTGAACGTATCAAAACTGCTCGGAAGACTGTATAGAATGATAATAGCGAGCATATCACCGTTAATTTCTACGTTCATTGATTGTAATTTGTCGACCGCATCTAAGAGATCATTCAAGTGATCCTTTACATCACCGCCTTCGGGCATTTTGTGTAACATAAGACGCTTTAAAAGAGTTGCTTTACGTGCAGGTCCTTTGGACGCGTAAATTGACTCTAATTTATCCCAAACATTTTTTGATGTTTCGTAACCTCAAATTTGTTTTAACTCAGTTGGATTGATGGATAAAATGAGATCTGACTTAGTTTTACGATCCGCAATGGCCCATGCATCGTGTGCTGCTTGTGAAGCCGCTCCTGTCGACGAATCCGTTGAGACAACAGGTCGTGGCTTTTCTCCAGAAACATAACCCCATGTGTCGTTCTTTATCAACAAAGCCTCTGCCTGGATTCTCCATGTATCATAATTATTCTTGGACAATATCTCGAGACGAGTGGAATTTATAGTGTTGTATGCCATGTCGTTTGTAGATATGCTTGAAACTGACTTGCACGATGATAATCGTAATATCGTTTGGCACTAAATCACACGCAGTGCATCAAAGCTTTTTGGAAGTACAAAAGCTTTTATTCTTGCACGTTTCAACGATTGTATCTAAACTCGAATGTCTCTTAGTGCCTGGGCCCATAACCTATTGAGGCGGCAGCGAAATGAGACAGGCTATTGGTACAAGAACGCTGTTTATTCAGATTGTAGATACAATAAAAGAAATCTCTTATGTAGTTTAACATTTGGTCTGGACCGTATAGACAATACAATGTGCGAATATCTTGTCAACTTAAAAAGAAAAACCCGGTCCACAGAAAACGTGCGTATCTGACGAACGAACAAAGAATTATTATTGAGACAAGGAAAGACGTAACAAACTCTCGATTATACAGATATAGATCGATCATCGATAGATTGGCAGGAGCGGGTAATTGAATTCCCAACATAGTATTTTGCGAAAACGTGGTGTAAAAAAACGTTCCAGGCGATGGTGGATTACACAGTTATGTAATAACAGAGAAACGAGTGATGGTTATAACCTTCTAACTGATTTAAAGTTTCAAGAAAGCAGCGGACAATATTACAATTTTGTTCGGATGTCATCCAAAGATTTCGAATTTTTATAGAATGCTATCGCTCCAAAAATAAATAAAATGGATACTGCAATGAGAAAAGCTGTCACTGCTAGAGAAAGATTAATTATAACGCTACGTTTTTTAGCAACGGGAGATTCATATACAAGTCTTCATTATCTGTTCAAAGTATCAAAACAGCTGATATCTGAAATTGTTCCTGAAGTTTGTCGAGCGCTTATTGAAGTCTTGAAAGAAAATATAAAGGTAAGCTGACAGATATGTATTTAATTATTATATAGTTTAATATATATTCCAGTAGTAATTTTCGAATACGCGCTTAAAAATTAAATTGATAAAGTAATTAAGAGATCAGTAATTAAAATTAAGTACTAATTATAAGTAATAAAAAGATCATTTTTAACGAATTACAAATTTTCGAAAACGTTGTGGACGGATGTAGTGATAGATCAGGAGAAGGAGCGCAATGAAGGGTAATCCACAAATGACTCCGTATGAGGATAACACGTTGAATATATTGTTAGGATATATGTACAAGGGTAGGAATGTCAGTGTAAATATTTGGTTGTGATGGATTGACTCCGGAAGGAGATAGGAAGTAAGTAAGTCGGGTGGCACCCGAAGGTGCCCGCGCCGAAAGGTGCGAAGGCTGTCGCCGGTCGATGTCGCCTATTCCTCCGTGGGGGAGTTCTCCTCGTCCTCGCCGCCGAAGAGCTCTCTCAACCGAGCCTGAATAACCGGGTTGCGCTGCACCGACGTGATGGCCCGGATCTTGGGCAGCTGCGACTTCCGCGCACGCTTAGCCCGGAGGTCCCGGAAGCGCTCCGGTGTTCTCGAGCGCTTTGACGGGCTCGGCGAACGTCGAGGGCTGGTATTAGTGCTCGACGTGCGGTGCGACGGGCTAGTCAGGCTTGCTGACTCGTCGGGCAGGCTCGACGGCTGCGCTGGTGTCGCCTGCGGTTCTCCGCGTGGACTCGGTGGTCGCGCCGGCGTCCTCGGTTGCTGCGGCGTCGTTGGCAGCGGGCGCAGAGGCTGTCGCCGATCCGGACTCCGCGGTCGCCCTGGTGTCGGCTTCTGCGGTGCTGTCGGCCGCGGGCTCAGAGGCTGTCTCCGGACAGGGCTCCGCGGTCGACCTGGCGTCCGTGGCTTCTGCGGCGTCATCGAAAGCGGACTCGGAGGCGCCGGCGAAGAGCGCGGCCGGACGTGGTCGACGCTCGTCTGCGTGGAGCGCGAGACTTGAGTAGTGACCGGTCGAGGTCGTGGGTCCGCCAACCTTCACCTTGTCACCCTCTCGTCCGGCAGATCCACCAGAATAAGCCTCCACGGCAGGAACAACACCCCTGGATCCAACCGTCGTCCTTCACAGATTTCGGGGGCCGACGGAGGAGGGCTCCAGTGTCGAGCGACGGGTGCCCTTGCGGCTGGGGGACGCTCAGGTCCCAGCCTCCACGACAGCTCCGGCTCGGGGACCGATAGAGGAAGACTCCTGGGTGGAGCGGCGACGGGCGCTCCTGCGGCCGGGGGACGGTCCGGTCCCCGCTTCTTTGCCCGCGGGATGGTGGCGGTCGTCCTTCTACTTTGGCGTGAACTTCGCCCGGATGGGCAGAGGAAGGAGGCAGAGGAAGGAGACAGAGGCCTGGTAAAACTTTTCGATCGGAAGGCCGGGACTCCCGCTTCCTTCCGATCGCAAAAGGGTCAAGCTCGCTCTGTTAGGTTACTAGGACTCAAGGTGCTTCAGGATAACGGCCTACGAGGTAAGCTCACGTTATCCTGAAGCGAGGAATCAGGCTGAGGACCTCCCACGGAGTCATACATATACCAGGCGTGGGTGTTTCTTCCTTACGAGATTTGTCGTGGCGCCTGCGGCGCCTAGCGGCGGCGCCGCGCACCACTCTCGTCACATGGCGGGCGCGCGCGGGCTCGGCGCGCGGGCCGAACGCGCGTGCATTATTGTAAGCGTACCGCTACAACGTTATCTGTTTGCGTATCCGGCACAGGTGTAGGGCAGTTTGAAATTGAACTTGATGTGCTTGCATTGAACAATGTTGGAGACGGAAGTGGACTGAGTGTACTCATTTGATTAACATGGAAATGTATGGCAGGATAATTTGAAACTGGAACAGTATTTTGATAATTGGGGACAAAAGAAGTAGCAGTAGGATACTCATATTTTTCTATGTCAGCTGCGAATAAAATATTATCTATAGCATGTTCTACTTAAATTTGCGTGTTATTGCTATAGCTTCTAAGTTTGTTGGCTACATGTTGCGAATATATGACACAACTATCAGGTGGTAGTTCTTTTTTTGCAGCGGTAATAGATCAGGAGAAGGAGCGCAATAAAGGGTAATCCACAAATGACTCCGGTTAAGGGTTACACGTTGAATATATTTTAGGATTATGTACAAGGGTAGGAATGTCAGTGTAGATATTTGGTTAAGATGGATTGACTCCGGGAAGAGGTAGGAAGTAAGTCGGGTGGCACCCGAAGGTGCCGGCGCCGGAGAGTTGGAGGAGCTAGTGGTTGTTGGTCGGAAGGTTCTCCTTATCGCCGTCAAATAGCTTCCTGAGCCGGGCCTGGAGGAGCGAGTTCAGAAGATATCGCCGAAGATATCGCCCAGATCTTTGGGCCCGATGACCGTTCCCGCTTGGCCTCGAGGTCCCGGAAGCGCTCCGGGGTTCGGGAGCGCTTGTTCGGCTCAGTGGATTGCCCGTGACTGACGTGCACGCCCTGCGGGAGTTCCGGCGAGCGGGGGCGCTTCACCGACTCCGTCGGTAGTCTCGAAGGCCGGTCCGGGGTCGTCGGTGGCTCGACCTGCGGGCTCCGTGGATGGCCTGGCGTCCTCGGTTTCCTGGGCGTGGACGGCGGCGGACTCAGTGGAGACAGAATCGTCGAAGGCGCTCGGACGACAGAATGGTCCGTCTGAGTCGCCCTGGAGACTTGGGAGGCGACAGGTCGAGGGCGCGGATCCGCCAATCTCCACTTTGTCACCGTCGCGTCGAGCAGGTCCACCAAAATCAACTTCCACGGGAGATAGGACACCCCCGGATCCAGCCGTCCTCTGGGTGAACCGGTGACCGATGGAGAAGGGCTCCTGGTTAGAGCGACGGGCGCCCTTGCGGCTGGGGGACGGTCCTGTCCCCGTTTCTTCGTCCGTGGGATGGTGGAGGTCGACGTTCGACAGCGGTGCGAATTTCGCCCAGGTCCGGCAGCGGTGAAAGAGGCAGAGGCCCTGGCGGGTGCTTCGGATCAAAAGGCCGGGACTCCCGCTTCCTTTCGATCTCGAAGAGCCGAGCTCGCTTTGTCAGTGGTTACTGTTACCTCAAAATACTCTCAGAGTGATGGCCTAGGAAGCTCACACCACTCTGAGAGCAGAAGAACGTGCTGGAGACCACCCACGGAGCCCTAGATATAGCGGGCGTGGGTGAATCTTAATTACAAGAATTGCAGTGGCACCTGCGGCATTTAGCGGTGGCGCCGCGCACTACTCTCGTTACGTGGCGGGCGCGCGGGCCAGGCGCGCGTGCCGTAGCGTAAGCATACCGCCACAGTACAATCTCTACCAATGTATTTACCTTTTTTCCTTGAAAAGAGTATTATCTTTGAGTGTTATTGGTACATTATTTACATTAATTATTTATTATTATTCATGTTTCTCCAGTGCGTACTGAGACTATCTGACATCAAACATTCTAATAACGTGTCATTGAATTTTTTCAATTTGTGTCTGACGGATATAATGGCTTCAACCAACGCGGACTCTGTTCTCGAAAGAGAACAGTCCCAGCACCCATTGATCAAAAGTAGATCAAGGATGTCGACCAACGCGGACTCTGTTCTCGAAAGAGGACAGTTCCAGCACCCGTTGATCGAAGGTTAGTTACAGACATCGATCATTGTTAATTATTAATTAATTATATAAGTAAGATCGATGTTTAGAATTGGAGATGTATATCTATTTTTCTATCGTTTTAATTGAGATCCGTACGAACCAAAAATATAGTTATATAACAATGTTCGAAAAAAGAAATCACGAAAATAAGTACAAGAAAGA